GTGTGTGAGAGAGAGAGAGAGAGAGAGAGAGAGAGAGAGAGAGAGATGTTTTGAGATAGCCCAGGATGACCTCAAACTTGAGACAATCCTCCTGCCTCAGGCTCTTGAATTCTTGATTACAGGCACGAGCTGCCCGCTGAGCTACAGAATTGAAGCTATACCGTGTCTGCTCTGGTGTCCTCCTTTGTAACTATCTGAACTCTATCCTATATGAGTCCCATGGCCCCTGGAGATGGACTCTGGCTCTCTATCCTTATCTGTAACATGAAGGTTACTATGAAGGATAGAATAGGACCCACTTGGCGCACAGAGTGTTTGGGAACTGGCCTTCTGTCCTCACATTCAGAATGTTGCTTACTTTCTGAAAGAGTCCTCAACATGAGCGTTCATGGCTGTGTAGTATTTCATCACCTGGATGTAAGGCACTTTACAATGGAGTTATGTCCCAGTGGAGCCACTGTAGATTGGAAATACCATTAATTCCCAATGCATTTGCTTCACCTTATCTACGGAACACCACAGCGTGGTATATCCTGCTGTAAACAAACTCACATTTCTGTTAGCTAGCCCACAGTTGGGCAAAACCATCATACACTAGGCCTCTCTTATAACAAAGCGCTGGGTAGCTGGTGGAGTTTGTTGAGCCCTGTACTCAGACTGTAAACTAGCACAACTGCCTGGGAACACTTCTTCTGCCCCATCAGAAAATTGAAAGATCATGAGCAGAAACACCTTCAGTTGGGGGGGCCTTGGGATTTGAGCGCAGGAGGCCATAGAAGGCAGGAGCCCCGGCCAGCCCAGTAAGTGGGTCTCTGGGCACCTCAGCACTGGCAGAAGCAGATACCAGGGTTTCACCGCCCACATCCCAGGCCTGGAAGGTGGCCCCCTGTGAAACCCTGTTCTCAGTCAAAGGGTCACAGGCACAAGGAAGAAGGAAGTAGTGACCCAATGAAGGGTCTGGCAGGGCGAAATAGGGATGTTAGCTCTGCATCCTGTGGAGGCTGAGGGAGACATGTCTCCCAGGAGGATCTGAGAGTGGGTTGTGGGAACACAGAGCATCCTCCAGTCCAGGGTAGGCATGTGAGGAGGGAAAAGCAGGGGCGAGGGTAGAGCCCAGAGCCTGATGTGCACACCCCAGCTGGCAGAAGCAATCTTTGTCCAGGACAGTGCCGCCCTCCAGGTATGACAGGGACCCAAAGTGTTCGTGCCTAATCCAGGCCTCCTCTGCAGTTTCCTAAATGTTCCCTGCCCCAGCTCTGGTCCCCAGACAAGCCCATGTACCCATAGCAACCACAGCAACCATAGCTAACCCTAACCCTGTAATATGTGACCTAGCCCAACTCACCCTAGTCAGGCATACCCCACCCCCAAATCTGAGCCTTCCCTCAGTCCCAGGAACCTCCTCATGGTCTTGTTCTTTCTAGAAGGTTCTCCCCTTTTGACTGGCAACACTTGACTGTCCTTCAGGTTTGGGTTCAGAGCTGTTCTTCCTGGAACCTTTTCCTGCCTCCCCCAGACTAAGTCAGGAGCCCCGATTCCTTTGAGGATACTTCACAATCACAGCACTTGGCATTCCTTAACTGAAGAGCCAGGCAACCATCTCTTGTTTAATTAATACACTATTTACAGAGTGGGTTTACAGAAAGGCGAGCAGGTACTCGGGTGGCCGCTCGAGACCCCTCGTCCCCTGCAATAGGTTTTATGTTCACTGTGTCATACTTCTGCCATGCAGCTGTTACCGGTGTGAACATGCTTGTTAACTGCAGTTTGGAGCTGGTCTGAAGTTTGCCGGAGTTCTGACATGTGAAAAGTGTTATGAGCCCCCATCACAGTATCATAAGGGACAGTCTGGCTGCCCTAACCCCCAACCCAGGAGTTACTTGTTCACCCTCCCTCTTCCCCCGCCCCCAACTGCCTCCAGTCACTAACTTCACCATCGCTCCATTAGACCAGGTGCTCCGTCAGAGGAGGGACCCCGTCTGCTTTGCCGACCATTTAACTGTCTGCAGCTCAGAGCCTGTCATATTACAGGTGCCCAATAAATATTTTTCCTTGCATATTTTAATAAAAACAAGATTCCACTCAGCACACCAGTCAGCGATTTGTTTTTTCCAAATATTGACACTATGTTTTGGAAGTCTTCCCATTTCAGAACAAAGCTTGCACACACCTGCACACCTTCCCCCACTCCCCATTAATCTTGTGGGGTTTGGTTTGGTTTAGTTTTCTGGGACCAGGATTCTCTATAGCCCTAGCTGACCTGGAACTTGAGATTTTTCTGCCTCAGCCACACACACACACAGTCTCCCACAAGGACCTGCCACTAGCTAGGAGTCAGCTTTTCATTAGCATCCCCACATGGCCTCTCTCTCTCTCTCTCTCTCTCTCTCTCTCGCTCTCGCTCTCTCGCTCTCTCGCTCTCTCTCTCTCCCCCAGAAGCAAGTGTGGTCACCCCAAAACTTTGAGTGTAAATATTTTCAGGTGTCTTTTAAGAGAGACTTTAAGAGCCATAGGTGCAACAGCATTGAGACATATCAAAATACCCTCAGTGTCAAAATTTCCGACTGCCACCCCCCAACCTTGTGTGCGTTCTGATGTGTGTTTGAACCAAAGTCCAGCCAGGCACACACAGCCTCCGATTTGACGTTCCTCCAGGGTGCAGTGGAGTCTCTTCCCTCCCTCTGGAACCCCCTCCTGCCCCTCCTCTGGGCCCCCTCCCTCCTCTGAGGCCCCTCCCTCCTCTGGGCCCCTCCCTCCTCTGGGCCCCTCCCTCCTCTGGGCCCCCTCCCTCCTCTGAGGCCCCTCCCTCCTCTGGGCCCCTCCCTCCTCTGGGCCCCTCCCTCCTCTGGGCCCCTCCCTCCTCTGGGCCCCCTCCCTCTGCTGCAGTCTCCACCCTCTGCCATGCTATTAAACAGCCTGGCCCTCAGTGTAGACAGTGTGCCTCCCTTGGCCTGGCCTATGTGGGCTGCATCTCTCCTTGGTGCTGTTCAGTATGTGACTCTGTCCTCTGCATTTCTGGTCCATACTTGATCTAATTCAAGTTCTCTTCCTATGGTGAGCCAGCTTCGAGAAAGTTCCTGCTCTGGGTTGTCTCTGTCTGTGATGTTTGGGGCTATCACTGCTCAGTGCACTCGGCCCTCCATTCGGTAGGAGCCCCAGGTTCTATCACGGAAGGTGTCTATAAGAAGGAACTTCCCCGTGCTGACTTCAGGTTGCCCTGCAGTACAGCTCATGTAGGACAGGTGAGATCAGTGCTTGCCAGTCTCCCTTTATTTACCAGTTTTCAGAGTAATGCGCTGCCTGTAAATATTTGAAGGTGTGGTGAATAATACATGTGTGGATTAACTGACAGGCTGGGGAGCTGGTGTTCTCTCCGTCACCCTAACCCTGCAGCCCAGAGCAAGGACCTGTATGTACAGGCTGTGGGCAGCTCTTGCTACCTGTCACCTGGCAACCAGCCTCAGTTAAAGGTTAAAATGGAACTGGGGATGTGGCTTAGTTGGTAGAGTGTTTACCTAGTGTGCACAAAATCTTGGGCTCCATCTCCAGCACATTAAAAAAGAAAAAATAAAGCTGGGCATGGTGGCGCAGGCCTGTAGTCCCAGCACTTGGGAGGCAGAGACAGGCGGATCTCTGTGAGTTCAAGGCCAGTCTGGCCTACATAGTGAGTTCCAGGACAGCTGGGGCTGCAGGGAGACCCTGCTTCAAAAAGAGAAAGAAAAAAACAATAGTTGTGGGCCAGTGAGATGGCTCAGCAGGTAAAGGCCACTGTCCCAAAGCCTGATGACCTGAGTCCCATCCCCTGGACCCACATGGTAGAAGGAAAGGACTATCTCCCAGGCTGTCGTCTGACCTCCACATGCATGCAATGGCGTACACACATAAACACAAAATAATTTGATTTAAAAAAATTGTGGTGGGGCTGGAGAGATGCTCAGTGGTTAAGAGTGCAGGCTGCTCTCACAGAGGACCCAGCTTTGGTTCCTAACACCCACATAGTTGCTAAGTCCATATCTCCAGTTCCAGGGGATCCAACGCCCTGTTCTGACCTCCAAAGGCACTGCATGCACAGGTGCACTTACATATATACAGGCAAAACGCTCATACACATAAAATAAATCTTTTTTTAAATTTTTTTTTATTTTGTAGTGATCCACACTTGTAATCCCAGCACCTGGGAGGTAGAAGCAGGAGGATCAGAAGTCAAAGTCATCCAGGCTAGTCTGGACTATGTGAGACCTTGCCTCAAAGGAAAAAAAAAAAAAAGCTCAGTGGTCAGCTTGCTGAAACATTGGGGTCAGGGAATCTGGCCACCCATCCCACCCAAGACGCAAGAGCAGAAAGTTCTAGATTGCGGCCTCAGAGGGGAGCTAAGACCAACCTCAGGGGTTCCAGGACAGTGCTGCTTGGGAAAAAGCTCCAGACCTTGGAGAGAAGTCTGGAGAATCTGAAGTCCATGACCAGTGTCCTCTGAGGCCCCTTCCAGCCCAGCCCAGCCTGGGCCTGGCCCCTCCTGAAGGCTTGCCTTTGCCAGAGGCCGAGGGCCTCCCCTGGAGCTCGCTGACCTCCCCCTCCTCTGCTCCCCTTAGATGCAAGTGCAACTTACATGCCAACCTGTGCTCCGTGCGTGAGGGCAGCCTGCAGTGCGAGTGTGAGCACAACACCACTGGCCCTGACTGCGGCAAGTGCAAGAAGAACTTCCGCACGCGAGCCTGGCGCGCCGGCTCCTACCTGCCGCTACCCCACGGCTCTCCCAACGCCTGTACGTATACAGCCAAATGTGGCTGCGCTCTCCACTCTGTGCCCCAGAACATGGGTCACACATACACACAGAAACATACAAGCATGCACACACATCACAGATGTGCAGATATGCATGGGCATGTACCCTTGGGGACGCTTACTCACACACACACATAAAGAAACACAAGTGCACACACATCTTTTCAGGAGCCTTAGAACAAGACCCTCTACCCCCACCCTGCCCTCTAAGCTGCTCCTCTAGCCCGGGCGTGTGACTGGTGCTGGGCTATTCTTCACCCTGAGGGCAGGGCAAGAGACCTCCTGGAATCACAGGACAAGGGGTACAGGCGTATGCACCCCGATAATGAGTGTTGGTGGGCTGTCAGCAGCATGTCGCACAGTGCCTCACACTGCCTGTTCCCCTCCTGACGCCACCCCTGCACCCTCAGCCTAGCTTCTGGCAGTTGAGCTCCAATATTCCCATTTTGCCGAAGTGTCCTTTGAGGCCCTCACCTGAGCCGCTCCTTTCAGACCATCTTGCTCTCAGCCATATCACGGGAGCCATGTCAGGGTTTTGCCCACACATGTCTGCATTTTGAGTTCCCTTTGGGGGATCCCCACTCTTGAGGGACCTCCAACATGGGCTCCATGAAAATATGGCTCCCAGAAATCCCTGGGCTGCAAATGTGGCTGACCCCACAATGAGTGCTCTAGAGGCCCCAGGGGTGTCATTGATGCCTGAGAGGTGCCAAATGGTCTGTCCAACCTGAAGCTACGAAAGGTTCTGTTCCCACCGGAGGCCTCCCTGAGCCCTCACAACACCACAGGAGTGTCATGACTGCTACCCACCCTCTAGGTGAGCACCCTCCTGATTCCAGTCAGTCCCAGCTAGTCTGGGACCTCAAGGCCACATCCTGACCCAATGGCACAGCCAAGACCAGGCAGAGTTCCCGAGCCACCTGTCCCATCTGGCACCCTCCCTCACCCTTGAAAGATTCATGTGGCTTTAGGCTGATCAAAGCTGAAGCTGAGGCAAGGCAGTGACAGGCGCATCTCCGTGGGCCACGGCCAGCACCGTGACAAGCCTTTGAAGGGGTGACTCACCAGGCTCTGCATGGCACTTGAGGGTCTTCAAAGGCACAGAGGGAGCTTGGTGGACTGCTGGCCTGCCCCCTGCCTGGCTCCCTCCTCCTGGGTGCCTGTCCCTGTCTCTTTGTGTCCTGAACTTTCTCATGGTCTGTCATCAGTGCCACTCCCTGGTAGCTTGTCTCACCCTCCATCTGTCCTGCAGCCCCCACCCCCACCCCATCACTTCTGCCTGAGTTCTTCCTCAGCCTCTGCCTGCCCACCTCTACCATCATAGATCATAGATCAAGACCTCTATTGCAATCTACCTAGGAGGGCCACTGTCCCCGCGCCCTGCCTAACCAGCAGACAGACCCTAGAGTGGCCTTTATGTGACATGAGTCCCCACCTCCCTTCAAGGAGCGGGCAGGCTCCCAAACCCCACCTCACCCCAACTTCCCTCCACCTGCCTCCTCCCCAGGCCTCCTCTTTACAACTACAGGGCCACCTTCCTCTAGGGACCCACCTGCTACAAAGCCCTCAGTGTCATGGGAATGAAACCCCACCTTGTCAGCCCCCCCCCAGTCACCTTCCCCTCCCCCTATCACTTCCCACCTAGTCCCGAAGTCCTTCACAACCATTTTCCTCCACTGTGTCCCTGTGCCTTCCCCACCCTCAGAGCCCAGCTTGGAGGTCATCTTGCCTCTCTGCACCCCACCCCCAGGGCCTGTGAGTCCTTGCTTCTCAGCTCCCACAATCCCGAGGTCTCCTTTTTGTCTCCTGCGCGTGGTAGCTGCAGAGGTGTGTTGGTAAAGGCTGGAGTCAATGTCAGGAGACCCACTGTCCTTTCTCATGAAGCCCATGGCCAGGTCATTCCTTTTGTGACTGTGACAGTTCTTACCCAGAGATGGTGACACCTCTGGTCAAACCAGTTCCCTCCCAGCAGAGGCACCAGAGACCCGGATTCAGCCTTTCACCTTGCCATGTCTCTTAGCCAGCTACACTGCCATTTTCCAGATGAGGATTCTGCCCATGAAGACTTTATCCTGCCCTTGGGGGCCTGAATGTCTGAGGAAGGTTTGGCACTCATCACGCAGTGTCCCATATGTAAAACGAGCTGAAAACAGCCCTCAGTCAGTGGGCTGTGAGAGTCCCCAGACCATGCGGCCCAGAGGCTGCCCCTGTGACCGAGCAGGCGCTCAGGTGCTAAGTCTCCTTCCCATCAGTGGACTCTGCCCCCAGCACACCGTCCTGTGCCCAGGAGGGAGGGGGCGGCCGGGTCCTCTGCCCAGCACCGTCTCTGTAATTCTTTTATCTCCCTGCAGGTGCTGCTGCAGGCTCGGCCTTTGGTAGTAAGTACACTGCATGCCTCGCAGGCTCTGCAGCCCATGGAGTGGAGAAGGGGCTGCTGGCCCCTCCTAATCATGCCCACCTGCTCTCGTCTCTCATCTGGGTCTCCCAGGAACTTCCTTCCTGCTGCTTTGGAAGAAGGGCGGGGCCTTTGTGTATTTCCTGCCCAGAGCCCTGTGTGGACTCCCTACTCCTGGCTTACTCCACTCCTGCCTCTGTACAGAGCCAGGAAGAGGTTCCCTCCCTACCAATGGCAGTATCTGTTCCAGTCTGACCATGGTGTACCTCACTCCAGGCGGCCCACATACCCGGCCTGCTCTGCCATGCGGCTGAAGGGGCCAGGTCTGGTCCCCATGCTCTGAATGTCTAGGTCAGCTCGGTGCCCAGGGCATGTCAGAATGGGGAGGGCCATCTGCAGAAGGACTTCAGGTCCTAGAAGTCCCAAGGAGGGTGAGGGCAGCTAATTGCCTGATTCTCAGGAGACCATCACTATCTGGACCTCCTCCTAAACACTCCACTGTGGGGAGCAGGACACTGTAGTACATCACTTATTTTTTTAAATATTTTATTTATTATTTTTATTTTATGTTTTATGTGTATGTTTTGCCTGTGTGTATGTAAGTGCACCCATGTCATCAATACCCACAGAGACCAGAAGAGGGCATTGGACCCTAGAACTGGAGTCACAAAAGGTTGTTAGCCACCACATGGGTGCTGGGACTCGAACCTGGGTTCTCTGCAAGAGTAGCCAGTGCTCTTAACAGCTGAGCCATCTCTCCAATCCCTGTATCTCATTTATTTAAACCCTGCAACCCCCACCTCCCCAGAAGGCTCTACCACCTGCTCCAAGAGTCAGCAGGAAAGGGCTTGCCAGTCAAACTGTGGCAGGCCCACCACCCCTTGGGGATGCTTCCAGGGACATACCTCCCTCTACCATGACTCTGTGGGGCTATATCCTGACTATCCCTCCTCAACCAGGCTGACCCCCCTTTGGGATGCCAGTAGGCAGACAGGGCATCAGAAGGAAGCCAGACCCAGGGGACACTGGTCTGTGCCACCACTCCACCACCTCTATAAGTGACAGCGTCTCTGGGTGCTTTTCCCATGTCTTGCCAGGCACCAGCAGGTCCCGGAAAGACCCTGCTCCTAAAGTTCCTGTGGCCACTAAAGCCACAAAAAGGGGCCCCACCACTTCCAGCTCCTCCACCTCTACCACTCAGGTCCCCATTGCCCCCAGCACCCGACAGCCCACGGGTAGGTACCAGAGTGCACCCAGGAGAATCCTCTGCCTCCCCTGATGCCTCCCTCAGCCCTGGGGAGAGCAGGCACTTGCCTCTTAGAGTAGAAACAGCTAGCACCCTAGCCCCAAGACAGCACTGGCTGAGGGGGTCCCCAGGCCCTTTAGGATAACCAGCCCAGCCTGGAGCCCCAGCCAGGAAAGGTAGGCATCCATTCAAACTCCCAGAATCATCTTCCTGCCCTTGAAGGCATTGCCAAAAGGGGCCCAGAGACCAGTGTGACCAAGGGAACGGGGCACCTTGTAGGAGGGTGCCCATGGTAGCAAGTCCACCAAGACAGTCAGCCAAAGAGGGCACTTTATGATCCAAGCATGCTTTGTGGTCTGTCCATGGAGGTAGCTCAGGCCCTGTCCCCATTTGGCCACCCACTGGGACCACTGTCCTGCTGCTGGCCAGTAGAGAGGACAGAGTGGAATTAGAGGAGGAGGCCAGGGCAGGAGGAGCCTTGGGAGGAGCTAGACTCCTAGGCACCCGTGAACCCAGACAAGCCCAAGCCAACTTCCTGCCCTGGTGTCACTGAGTTCAAGACTGGCCCCATTGCAGGGGCCTGCAGATACACACAGGCCTGCAGACCTGGCTGGCTGTTTCCCTTCCCAAGGCAGGATCTGTGCATACAGGAGGTGTGGGATCCTGGTGTGTTCCTCTGGACTCAACTCACCTGGGGAATCTTGCTAGGGCCTGCCCACTGTAGATGTTGGGAGTCTGAAAAGATTCTTCCTTCTAGAGGATACCAGCAAGATGGTCACACCCACCCCCACCTCCTGTAGGGAGGACAGAGCTGAGACTACTTGCTCCTTGAACAAGTCCTGGGTCTAAATCCCTGACATATTCTTCTCTCTGATTTAGTGAATCTGCCTAGCCACCCCCTTCTCATAGACAACATCTAAGAGCAGAGACCCCTCTGGCAGCTGGGGAGGGATCCACCTCACACTCAGGTTCCTTCCAGGACAGCCCAGCCCTGGCCTGGGCCCGCCTGCCTCCATCTGCCAGGTGGGGCGGCCTCTCCAGGTGTGGTCACAGCCTTGAGACCCTCACCTTCCCAGGCCATCTCACTCAGCTCCCCAGGAGCCATTACACCACAGCTCTCATTCTCCCTGAATCCCTCCTCTCCATGGAGACTTGTGCAAGGGGCCCGAGCCCAGCTGTCAGGAATCCTGTTAGGGTGAAGGACCCCATCCCTAAGACTTATGGGCTTTAAGGGAATTGAATTGAACACCTGCACACACATGCACATGAACCCACACATTCATGTACACACATGCCTATACACATATGAAGGACACCCATCACTCACACACATGCATACCACTTCTATATATATTATAGAAGTAGAGAAGATCATCACAACTGAATGCTGGTTTTATGAGAGAAGAGAGAGAGAGAGAGAGAGAGAGAGAGAGAGAGAAAGAGAGAGAATCCCAAGGTCCCAGAATCCTGAGACACAGGGCTACATCACAGGACTCCATCAGCTACCTGCCTCCTCTGCTACCCAGGGCTACTTCCCTCAGGCTCCAGCTGCTGGGAGGTAGGGCCTCCTTTAAGACACAATTAACATGGCTCCTTGATCCCAAAGGGCCAGATGGAGCCTCCGCTGTAGTCTTGGCACAGGACACAGGACACCTGAATATGTCCCAGCACAACCCAGATAAGAGCTTTGTCTCCTCAGACCCAGCACCTTCCAACAGGTGCTAGCCTCTCCAGGCTAGAGCCCAGCTGGGCCTTGAAGCCCCAGCCCACATTTTTTTTATCTCTTTCCCTGTCAAGCTGTCTGGAGAACAGTGCTGTGGCTGGATAGAAGCTGGAGCCCCTTAATCCTTCCCAGCATCCTGATGGGAATGTGGGGAGCCAGGCTCTGAAGCAAAATGCCTTCGGGGTGGTTTTATCATGGTTCTAATTAAGCCCTTGCCAATTTGGGTCCTGCAGCCCTGTCTCCTCATTGAATACCATATTAATGTCAATTTGATGCCCAAAGGCTTCAGGCTCACAGCTGAAAACCTCCTGCTGACTTTAGCTGGTAGGCTTTCTTCTTTGCCCATCAACCACCACAGATAATCCCCTTCCGAATTGGAAAACATCAGCCCTCCCCACCCCTCCCGAGTCTGTCCTTTGAATTCTGCACAGAGCAGTTGCTGCCTGAGCTCCTTGCTTTGTGTCCAGTTCTGGGAACTGGATGTTATGGTGTAGAGGGTTGGTGACTCATGTTGGAGTCCCTTGTGAAGATGAACTCAAGCCAGAATCAGGAGTGGGAAAGGCGGTGATCAGAACGGTGGATTAGACATGGGATAACACCCCCCGGAGACCTTCTAGTCTCTTTCTGGACATGTATGGCATCTTGGCCAGGATGCTGTCCCTCATCATGGCATTAGCCTGAGACTCAGTGCAGAGAGGTCTAGCCTCACACACAGGACTCAGTCTCACCCCTTCCTCAGTTGGAATCACAGAGACAGGAGAGTCCCTGAAGGCGAGTGTCCCAGCGAAGGAAGGACTGTCCAAAACCCACAGAGCCTTGGAGCATGGGGGCCTCCTCTTGTCAGGCTTCAGTGTGTAGGTACCGTCTGTGGTCTTCAGTAGTATAGATGCTGCCTCTGTAGTGGATTTGGACCCAGGTCCTTAGGCCAGTGTAGACAGAACCTCTCCTCTAAAGCTGCTTCTCACAGGGGCCTCTGAAGGGTGGGGTGTCACCCCTCGCATGACTTGATTTCTTCTCTTCTTCCTCCCAAGAACTGACCAAGCCATCTACAGCTGTCCTTCTTGGGGTCAGCTCCCACTGGCCCCAAGTGTCCACCAGTGTGGAAGGTGTGGGGCAGGGTCTGGCAGGCCTGAGCCCACAGAAACTCCATCTTAGATCCTTGGGTCACCTACCTCTGTCATGGGTGTAGAGGGCTTACATCATGGTGGGGACCCTGCACAGGAGAGGACCCCTAAAAACTGAGGCAAGGGGTGGAGCAGGAACTCAGGGTAAAAGCAACGAGGGGACTCCTGCTCCATGCCTACCTCTACCCTTCTTGGAAACCAGTGGGTGGCCAGGGTATAGGGGCTCATCTGAAGCCATAGATGGACATGCATGAGAAACACATGGGCTGGCTCGGCTCTCTAAGAAGGAAGAACGTCCTGAGCCCCAGCTCACCTGTTCCCAGCCCTGTGGTTTCTACCCACACCTCATCAAGAACCTAGGGTTCCCCCTTCAGCCCCAGCAATGAATGAATAGAAAGGCTTTGTGAGCTGTCCGCTGGCAACTGATTGCAAAACTAGGGAGGGTCAGAAGTTTGCCTCTTCCCATCCCAGAGGCGTCTTCTCTAGTGATGAAGACAGCGGTCACCTCCTTGCTGTGGACCCACTGAAGCACCACAGGGTCCTAGAGGGGAAGCACAGGCAGAAATTCTCCTGGGGTAGCGTGTGCTTACGTCCAAGTGTAGGACTGGGGCCCCAGTGGGATTTCTGGAAGGGGAAGGCGGTGCTGCCTGCATGCATGGCTTGATGACATTTTGTGAGTCAAATCCAGGAACAGTAAAGGACTCAGCTGAAGGAGGGAGATGCTTTCCATTGTAAAAGAGATGTGGTCTTTTTTTTTTTCCTTCTCTTTGAGACAGGGTCTTCCTGTAGCTCCAGCTGTCCTGGAACTCACTATGTAGACCAGGCTGGCCTTGATCTCACAGAGATCCTCTGCCTCCCAAGTGCTGGGATTAAAGGCATGAGCCACCATGCCCGGCAATTGGAGATGTGGTCTTAATGCCAGGTTTAGACTTGTGATTTGATGCCCAGGGGAGGGGACAAGACAAAAGTAGATGTCCAACTACATTCACTTTCAATCAGCCAAAAACTGGAGTGTCAGCAAATGTCTTAGCAAGGTGGAGGATTGTTAGGGGATGGAAAAGGTATTTGGGGATTGGTCCAACAGCTGTGGAGGCGGTCTCAGGGGACACGTGGCAGGGCTGGCTCTTTGAGCTGATAGCTACTCTGTGTCATCTCTGCAAGGTGCTTCAACCTGGGGCCCTGAGACTGGCCTGGCTCCACGCCTGAGGGTCATGTGGTCTTTCCCTGCCTCAAATGTGTTCAGGTGACAAGGTTGCCCAGAGCCAGCCAGAGGCACTCAAAAACCTTGGTTCAGCTTCTCCCTGGTGCAACTGCCTGCCCTGGTGATGACCATGGCAGATGTGAGTGCTTGTTTCTCGTCTCTCTAAGCTGTGGCCACCTCTGCCGACGCCCCTGCCCACGCCAAGGGCTCCAACCTTTTCCAGCTCAAGCCTAAATCCCCTCAAGTGATTCCCATTGAAGAATTCCAAGGTAAGGGGATGGTCCTGGGCCAAGCCAGCCCTTAAAACATCTCTTTCCCAGTCCACTGGAGGAAAAAACAAATGCAGGACAGAGGACCAGCTGGTGTTGGTTCAGAAAAGCCTGCTCGAGTAGCTGGGTCAAGGTTAAACTGAGTCTCCCTGGCTCCAAGGGCACTGGGAACAAGGATGAGTCAGAAGTCAACTTGGGCACAGTGGGCAGGCACACAGCAGGAGGAGGGGCTGCCAGAAATAACCCGTCCTGGCTCCCCTGGGAGGTATGGCCTAGGGGCTCATCTTGGTTGAAGCGAAATCTGGGACACTCGGGTCACCGGCACTGCTCTTGGGGACATCCGGAGGATGTTTCACTTCCTTAGTGTGTCTGGAGAGTAAGGTGAAGGGGCAGGCCATTGAGACCCATGGGTGGGCCCACCAGCTCTCCTAGACATATCTCAAAGGTATTTCCCTTGTATCTCCTGCACCCTTGACCATGTAGAGCTCTTCAGCCCCATCCTGCCCCATCCCAAGAGAGGACGGTAAGGTCCTTTAGAGATAGCTACTTGGATGGTATTCCAGCAGGGAGATTCTCGTCCTTCCTCCTGGCTTTCTCATTCAGTGGCACGGGGGTGTTGAGTCCGTTTGGAAGGACAGGAAAGGATGTCCTGGTTCTGCAGCAGAGAAGTGACACTCCACATTGAACTCTGCCATTTCATGATGTCATGGGAGTCACTCCAAGTCCTGGAACCCTTGCCCCAGGTGGTGATGGAACTTAGAGCCATTGAAAGATCAACCCAAGAACCTTGTGCGGTAGACTGAAAATGTGGCTTAATTGGTAGAGTGCTTGCTTTGGCATGCATGAAGCTCTGGGTTAGATCTCCAGCACAGTGTTAACTGGGTGTGACGGCGCTCAACTATAACCCCAGGAGGTGGAGGTAGGAGGAACAGAAGTTCAGCATCATCCACAGCTACAAATTGAGTTAAGGTCAGCCTGGGCTGACATGGGACTCTGTCATAAACAACAACAAAACACTTGTGGGAGGGGTTGTAAAAGGTCTCACAATGGCCCAAGGGTGGCTTTCCTTGGTTTGCACTGAGCATTGAGTCAGAATTGGGCTGGGACGACGGGGAGCCAGGAGATAGATGCCCAGGCTCTCGCAAATGCTAGCACTTTGATCAAACCAAATCTGTGGAGAATTCAGGCTCATACGAGCAGGTTCTGTGAGGATAGGGACAGAAGGCCGCTACCTCCCAGCCCTCTTCCAAAGCAGCTTGAGAGGAAGGCTGGCCCACTCCATCCTAGCCACACTGATGTATAGCTCCATCCATCCATCCTCACAAATGTGGAACCCCGGCACTGCCCTCTGCAAACACAGTCCACAGCATGACCCTGCCCTCCTGACACAAATCATTTTCTAATCAACCCTGGCACATGTGCATCCTCCAGAGAGCACTTTGCCCTGGCACCAGCTAGGTATTAGCAGAGGCTGGCTCCCTGATTCCTTGTATACAGGCCTCTCTCTACAGGGCTTAAAGCTAGCAGGCCTGTCTCTTCCTGAGTGCTAATGGAAATATCCCAGGCATGGACCCCCTTCCAGATCCTTCTCCAAAGATGCCTCTTCCCACCCACCCCTGCATGTTCTGAGGTGTAGCCCTCCTCGATCCCTGCCTCAGTTTCTCCAAATGCTCACTGACCACTGGTTTTTTTTCTCCTGCTTGGCTGGCTCAGACTGTGAATGCTACGGTCACTCCAACCGCTGCAGCTACATTGACTTCCTGAACGTGGTGACCTGCGTCAGCTGTAAGCACAACACGAGGGGCCAGCACTGCCAGCACTGCCGGCTGGGCTACTACCGAAATGGCTCTGCGGAGCTGGATGACGAGAACGTCTGCATCGGTGAGTGCCAGGGGCAGTGTCGGGTGGCTCTGGGGACCCCTGGATCAGAATCACCTAGGGAGGTACAGACACCCAGTCTCCGGCTGGGTACCTCTGGGGACAGAAGGCCTCGATCTGTTGCCAGTGGTCCCCAGCCCCCTGCAGTTCTCTGTCAGGCACTAGAGGCCCTGATACTAGTTAGCCAGAGGCTTGCTGGGTTGTGTGCCTTTGGGCTATGTGTCTCTAGGCTCCTCATAAAGCTGGGAGGTGGACTAGGTGGAAGGTCTCTAACACCTTTGTTGCTGAAGCTCTCCTTCAAAGTCAGACTTATAAAGCTGTACCTGCCTCAGCCTGCCTCCGTAGAGCTCTCTTCCAGGACTGGCTTTGAGGGAGGGAAGTCCCATGGTGTCCTTGAGCCTGGACAGGGGACAGACACTAAAAGCCATAACCCCCAAGCAACACCTACTGGCCTGGAAGGGTGTGCAGGGCTGCCCACCTCCAGGCCTGCCTCCAGCAGAGGCTGGGTCTCAGACCTGGGGCTGCCTCACTGGGGCCAGCAGCCAGCAGGCCCACCACCCAGCCCCCACCTGGCCAGCTCAGCTGCAAAAGCTGGAGCTTGTCGGTCTGGATCTTGGCTGATGGCTTCAGATAATTCCATCAACTCTAAAGTGATCAAAACAGAATTGTGTTGCCAGCGTCTGCAGGGGCAGGGCAGGACCTCTGATCCGATTAAAGGTGCCCCCTTCCTCTCCCTGTCTGTCTCCATCTCAGGCCTAGGCTTCAAGCACTGGGGGCCGTACATCAGCCCCATACACAGTGATCCAGGAAACCAGCTGGAGCAGGCAGACAGAAGAGGCAGGCAGGGGAGAGGGGCAGGCGCAAGGGAGGAGTAGTCAGGGAGGAGGGGCAGACCTCAGGGGGAGCAGGAGGCGACACACACAGACATATACACACACCACAGTCTCCAGGACAGATGCCTGCCACCTGCCAGACTCTTAGGTCTTTGGGACTGGGAAGGATCAGCCTCCTCCAGCTGTCCAGAGAGGGTCAGGAACTGCCCCAGGCCACAAAGGGCCAGAGCTCCGGGTGTTGGACACCCAGCCGTGAGCTCCCTTGGATGCGGTGTGGAGAGCACTGCCAGAGTGTGCAGGGCTTGGTGGGGTCCCGGTGCCCAGTGCCCACAGGCCTCCCTGACCACACATACCCCGTGCCCTTGTCTACCCAGAGTGCAACTGTAACCAGATAGGCTCGGTGCACGACCGGTGCAACGAAACTGGCTTCTGCGAGTGCCGCGAGGGCGCAGTGGGGCCCAAGTGCGACGACTGCCTCCCCACTCACTACTGGCGCCAGGGATGCTACCGTGAGTGGGCCAGCCCCTGGGGGCGTGGCCTTGAGCCTCGGGGCGTGGTCCAGCCTAGTTGGGGGGCAACGTGGACAAGGCCTGGTGCTGGCTGGGGTGGGCTAGGAGCACGTGGGCACGGGGAGGGGCCTGATGCAACCTTGGGGAGGGGGTTCAAGGTGAGTTCCAGGGCCCCAGTGCGCTAGTGGGCGGAGTCCGTGGCAGATGGGCACCAGCAGGGAGGTGGAGCCGGGGGTTAGCCTGGAGCCGCCTGGAGTTGGCCAAGGGTGGAGGGTTTTGCACCCAGGAAATGAAGGCCTGGGGAGACCCGAGGGGTAAGGAGGGTGGGAGGGCGCTTCCGGTTCCTGCAGAAACATATGCAACGGGAGGTCCAGGCAGGGCTGGAAAGAGGGGCACACTGGCGGGGGGCGGGGGGAACGGGGTAGGCAGGGGACTGTTGCCATGGGAGCAGGGACGTTTCCCATCCAGTGCGTCCTGAGCCTCCCGCGGCCCCTGCTGGTCTGGGCAGCACCCCCCCAACCCCCACCCCGGGTATCCAAGGTACCCAGCCCTGCGTTGCAGAAGCCCGGACGCAGGGGAGGGGGTGGACCGGTGTGTCCCCCCACACACTCCAAGCTGCCTCAACTGCCCACTCCGCCCCGCAGCCAACGTGTGCGACGATGACCAGCTGCTCTGCCAGAACGGTGGCACCTGCGTGCAGAACCAGCGCTGCGCCTGCGCGGGCGGCTACACCGGCCTGCGCTGCGAGCATCCGCGGTGCGACCCTGCGGACCAGGACGCGAGGCTGGACTGCGACCGCGCGCCCGGCGCCGCCCTGCGCCCCAACGCCCTGCTTGGCTGCCTGCTCCTACTCGGGCTGGCCGCCCTCCTGGGCTGCTGACCCGCCCGGGGGACGCCCAGGGCCGGCGTCGGGGCCACAAGGGTGCGGCCGAGCTGCTCCCAGGTGCTACTCTGCAGAGTCCTCCCGCCTCCCTGCACCTGCCACGCCAGCGACTGCCTCCCACACACTCGGGACTTGGATTCCCTTTTACACACCCTGCCACCCTATCCCTTTTATTTTCCTTCTTTCTTTCTGTAATTGTTCCTTTTTTTTTTTTTTAATTTCTGGCAGTGAGATAAAGGGTCGGGAGAAATACTGCTCATCCCAACACCTGCAGGTCCCGCCCCCACCTCACATACACAGACTCTGCGCCTGTCCCTGGCTCCCAGCCACCAGCCAGCGGACCCGGATCTCCAGCTGCCTACAGTTCCAGTAGCAGACTTGATCCTCCTCTGTATTCTTTATTTTCTTTTGCACTTACCAGACCCCAGGCCCCCAATGAGGCCTGGTGACCAAGGACGCTCACCGTCTTGGGGGAGGAGAAGGACGATGGCTGGGAGAGGCAGGAATTTTGTTTTGTAGAGAACTATTTTTGTTTGTATTCACTGTCCCCTGTGAGGAGGGACTCAGATGGGAGCTGGTCACTGAGGGTGGCTGAGGGTGTACCCCTCGGAGAGTAAAGCGAGTTCACAGCTGCCTTCTGCCCACTTGCCTTCTGCATTGATGGATACCTGGGCAGGTTATCTATCAGGTTTGGGTAAATGGAAGAATCCATTTAAAAAAAAAAAAAAAGCCTTAAAGAAACGGTTCCCCATTGGGGCAACCCTTCCTCAGGATGGCCTCTCCTGCACCCCCCCCCCACATACCCAATCTCATCAATGGGCAAATCTGCTAGTAACCACATGGTAGGGGCTTCCCCAAACAGAGGTGATCACCTTTCCTCCAGCCCCCCAACTCCAGTGTATCTACTATGGAAGCCCCAGGGAGAGTTCCGAGGCTCAGCCCCATGCAATGATGTGTAACCCACTTCTGTGGCTATCTCACATCCAGAGCCTGGAGTCCAACGTCCAGTGACTCATAGCTGTTACCTTGGCTGCCACCTGCCTGGCCAGCCACAGCCCCCTGCTGGCCACAGAGTCCGGAAGTGGACTTCCCTTTTCCTTGTGAAGGCCAGAGAGGACTGTGAAAGGGACAAGGGGCAGTTGGAGAGTCAGGAGAGGAAGGGTCCAAGAATTCAGAGTCCACCTGGCTGGGCACTTTGGTATGTGGCTCTATGTCTTGGGGGGTCCGGGTCCCCTCTGCCTGCCTCCTATCTTTCACCTCCAAGCAGCCTGTGGCTTCCCACCTCCCTGTACTGACATCTGCCAGCTGCAGCTGCTCTTTCTAAGTCTCGCTGTCTCCAGGCTTAGAAGACAAGCTTCACTCAAGTCCCTGAAGCAAAGCTCAGACAGAGCTAAGCAAAACTTGGCCTTGGGAATAACATGAGGGAGAGCTCAGAGAAGGCTGGCCATGTGCAGCTGCATGTTGACTATGACTGAGGCCATGTCACCCCCTTCTGCTCTCTCACTGCGGGACTCAGCTCCATGGTCCAAGGAAGTGTTTCTGTCAGGCCCTGTACGTCCCTGCCTCCATCTTAAAAAAAAAATGTGTAGGCGTGTCCTGCCTGCATGTATGTAAGTGCACCTGTGTCATGCAATACCTGAGGATGACAGAAGACCCTTTGGATCCCCTGGAACTGGAGTTACAGACAATTATTAGCCGCCTTATTGGTGCTGGGATTCAAACCCAGGTCTTCTGTAAAAGCAGCCAGTGCTCTTAACCACTGAGCCCCTATGCCTCTGTCTTCACTTTTGCCACGAACAGGACCCCAAAGTGTTCAGGTAGACTAAAACACATCTCTGGGTTTCTTTGTGGATGAGAGTGGTCATGTGACACAGCTCTGACCAATGAGATGTAAACTGGAGTGGCAGGGCTTCCAGAAAGTTCCTAAAAGCCCTTACCCCTACCCTAGGTGTCCTAGTTTGTTTCTCCATTGCTGTGACAAAACACTCTGACCAATACGAACGTGGAGAGGAAAAGGTTTATTTGTCTTATATCTCCCAGGTCACAGTTCATCAGGCAGCCCAAGGTAGGAACTCAGGGCAGGAACCTGGAGGCAGGAGCTGGAGCACAGGCCATGGAGGAACGCTGCTTACAGGCTTGCTCCCTGGCCCCTACTCAGCCTGCTTTCTTATGCAGCACAGGCCCACCTGCCCAGGGGTGGCACCACCCACAGTGGGCTGGGCCCTCCCACATCACTCAACAATCAAGAAGGTGGCCTACAGACGTAGCCACAGGCCAGTCCAATGAAGGCAATTCCCCAATTGAGGCTCCCTCAACCCAGGTGTGTCAAGTTGACTTTAAAGTTATCCAGCACACTGGGCAAAGCCTCCTTTGGCCACATTGGGCCCTGGATCCTCTCCCAACGCTCTCCCTGGTGTTCCATCTGTGGACTGGAAGGTAGGAGCTGTCTGGCAACCCTGAGCATAAAGGTAGGACCCCCCCACTCCCCACCCCCTACCCC